GGGTTTGAACCTGGTTCAAACCCACCAGCCTCCTGGCTAGTAGTCTACTCGTAGTAGTAGTGCCTTAGGCACTACACCACTATATATAAATGATGGACCAGTTACATTCGTGTTGATTCCAACTCATAGTAACCCCATGTGTGTAGAGTAGAACTGTGCTCCAAAAGGTTTTCAACGGCTGATTTTTCAAAAGCAGATTTCCAGGTCTTTCCTCTGATGTGACTCTGGGTAAACTCAAGCCTTCAATCTTTTGGTTAGCAGCCAGCGCATTAACTGTGTGCACCACCTAGAAACTCATATAAATGGTAGTAATTATCATTTTATATGGAACTAGAGATCACCATTATCAGTGATTTCCTTTCTACCATAATGCTAATGGTTTGCATTTGATTGTAGAATGCACAGTTCTCCCAGTCTCTGTTCTCTAACATTAGTTATTGTGGCAATGAAGATGGACCCTCTATGTATGCATTGCCTGGATGCCACTCTTTCATTGTGAATCCCGGAAGCTTGTGACCCTCATACTGTGTTGTTTACAACGGATTTTGATTAGATTTTATTTTTTTCGGCCTGAAGAGTAAAGTAAGAGTCCTGTTCCACTTGGACGAGTTCTGTTTTCAAACATGTATCTTATATATTGCTGGGAGCAGTGGGGAAATTACTGAATCAGCTGACACTTCACGCTCAAGATAAAAATGATTTATAGGAGTCCTTCTACTCCTATTTAGTTGGCTAATACAGTCTGCAAAAGTGCCAGCTTGCAGAGTTTTTAAGATATAATTTGAGATGATTTCTTTGTGGGAGTTACAATATCACTATTCACTTATCTTTTATATGGATTGACTCGACGGCACATAACAACAACAACAACATCATTTGAAAATGGGTAAAATTTTGCTATTGTAAAAAGAGATAATAGAAAATTTTATCAGAATTTAATTCTCAATAAAAAGTATATTAAAGATTTAATTTATATTTAAAGTCATTGATTCTTGGAATGTTATACTTGGACGTTTATAATTGCCTTTGCAATCAAGTTCATTTGCTCATGCCCAGTTATCCTTTTGAGTAAAATGGGTATTTTAGAAAATCAGTAGATTAAAATAATTCTTTCCCAGTTTTTCTTTTCCTCTCCCTACTCAGATATAGGAAGTTTCATTTAATTTTTTTTGCCTCTGGAGAAAATATATGAAATTCTTGCTTTCTTGTTGAATTATTGACTATATGGTGGGTCTATGTATCAAGCAGGTCTATGGATTAGTCAGCTAGTGTACTTCCCTATGGTCTGCTTTTCTGTCTCCACACTTTGTCTCCTGTTCATTCTTTTCATGGAGAATGGCCTCTGCCACCCACTTCTTTTTGCTCAAATCCTAACCATCCTCCAAGGTCCAGCTTAGCTGTTTTCATTCTGTAGCTTTCCCTGAACTACAGGAAGTACTTTCTCTACTCTGAACCCCTAAAAGCATGTGGGGTTTTTTTGGTACCACTCACATAACACTTTGTATAATATTTCTTGGTTTATAATAATATTTGTAAATGTTTTATGTTTCTTTTCAAGCTCTAAGATTTTTGAGAGAAAGAATTAAGTTTTCTCATTCATTTTATCATCCAAAATATATTGCACAAGAAGAAGAGCTAGACATATATTTGTTATGGCATATAAGTTTTAATTTAATCAATTAGATACAGTCTTAGATATTCCATCTAAAGAATACTGAACAGAAGAAAATAACATTCTGAAGAGAAAATGCTTCTACTACGGGAGATGAAGCCAGATTTGGAAAATAGCCCTTTTGCTGATGGAATTTTAACTGGTTTTCCAGCTATTTGGCCAATGAATGTGCAAGAAGGGATTGAGTGAAAAGGATTATTGTCACCCCAGTGACAAGGCCCTTATTCTTTCTCTTCTGAGCATCCAGACACAGATGGAGTCATCTGTGGATTAAATTTAAGAGACAGTAAGATGTTTCATTCTTCAGGTCAAAATGATTTCTACTACTAGCCTTCCTCTGAGGAAATCCCCATCGTTAGAGTATATGGAAGAATATGTTCAGTAAATCTTATAAAAGATCAAATGTAATGCAGAACAATAACATGGAAACTCATGGACAACTAGGGTTCATGAGTACCACACCTGAACAGAAGGTCCTGAATCAGAGCAAGATGTGGACCAGGGCTTGGGACAGGGATCAGGAAGACTCTAGAACATTGAAGGCCATATGGAGAGGCCTTGTCAGGAGCTGGAGAGCTGAGGGAATGGGATGAAGAAAACCGAGGGAAACTCTGTAGCAGACGAAAGTGAACTTTGTCTCTTCTATCATTCCTCTAGGAAAAGCAGAGTTTGGCTCATGCTAAGGATTATCACTCTGAAATTCAGCTTACCTTTATGTCAGTTGGATTTTTCCTTCCAGAAGATGCATAAACATACTTAAAAATATAATAATCATGTTTTCCATGGTGGTCTTTGTATGTTATTTACAAGAATACAACATGATATTTAGGTGGGTTTCCTGGCTCTCTTTTTGACAGCATACAGTGTTTAGAAGTCTAATTTTGCATCTGACTAATGATAGTACCGTTTATAGCCACAAGAGGGTGTGTGTTAGTTCCTGAAGAAAGAAGCTTATTCCTTTCTTTCTTCTGTTTTACAATTGCCCAATGAGTCAATTCCAATTCCTGGCAACTCCATGAGTGTCAGTTTAGAGCTATGCTCCATAGGGTTTTCAATGCCTGTGATCTTTCGGAAGTAGATTACCAGGACTTTCTTCCAAGGTGCCTCTGGATGGACACAGACTTCCAGCCTTTCAGTTAGCAGTCCAGCATGTTAACCATTTGTACCACTCAGGGATTCTGCTCTCTTTTCTATATATTTCTAAATCTGTTTCTCTTACGGGGTACTGTCAACTGTCTCCTTCCCAGGGTAGATCAGTTTTGTTACAACATTACATGGATATGGAACACATGAAAATGTTTTCAGGTAGGAGTGGTGGAGAAGGTTTAGAAGAAGTCAATGTTACAGCATTCATGTCTGATGTCAAATTGGCAAAACTCATAGCATGAACATGCAGGGTTTTAAGTTTGGAGATTTTGCCTTTATAATTTTCAGCTGAGACAAAGAACAGAAGATTGTTAGTTCTTAGAACAGAATTATCAGAGGTTGCCAGGAGAAACCAAGGAAGGAATAAGTAAGCTGCAATTTGGTAACATGCAAAGAGTACTTGTCTCAACTTTCTGGATGTACCTGGAAAATAACTCCATATGAACAGAATTTTCTTTTTAAGTCTAGCTAGCCACCTACGCTTTGTTTCTCCCACATTTGTTACTTTGCTCCCATGTGCATATGTGAGGAAATACTGTTTGCTAATAATGAGCTCTGGTAGCATAGTGCCTAAGGCACTTGACTGCTAACCAGAGGCTGGTGGTTCAAACCCACCAGCCACTCCTCAGAAGGAAGATGGGGCAATCTACTTCCGTAGTGATACTGCCTTGGAAACCAAAAGAGGGGTCACTATGAGTCAGGTCCGACTTGATGGTACATAACAACAATAACAATATGGGGGCTCTAGTAGTGTGGTGGTTAAAGTACCCAACTGCTAACCAAAAGGTCAGCCATTTGAATCTACCAGCTGCTCTGTGGGAGAAAGATGAGGCCTTGGGAACTCTGTGGGGCAGTTCTACTCTGTCTTATAGCATCAGTATGAGTCGGCATCAACTCAATGGAAGTGGGTAAGTTTTAGTAACAATATCCCATTATTCTTGCTCACTCATTCTTCTGAAAGATGTATAGGAAACCATTGTTTCATTTCAAGGAAGAAATCAAACTGAAGAGAAATAAATCTCTACTCAGAATGCTTCTCTCTTTTCTATCACATATTTTGTGCAATATGATACTTGATTAATTAGAAATTGCCAAAATTATGTAGTATAATTTTGCATTCCTACTTTAAGTACCCAAGAATATTTTGATACTTAAATGTGTCTCTTACTGACTGTTTTCTTTACAGAGCTGAAATAGATTTATTTGAGAAGAATAATTCTGTTTACCTTCTGTTCTTCCACACAGCCTTGCTTAGTTTTCTCAGTTTGTGGTTGAAATGTCTGAAAGAAAACAAGAAATAGAACTTCACCAAATAAAACAGTCACTCTTTCATTTCTTCAAACAACAAATTCTTCGTTTACTTTTCTGTCTATTGGTTGTATTATTAAATGTGGAAAATAATTCTGACCAAAAGAAGAGGGGCACACTCATCATATAAATATTTATTGCAGTATTACAAAAGAGAATGTCAGCTTTCCTCCCTCCCATTAAATCCATTGCTATTGAGTCAATTCTGGCTCATAACTACCCTATAGGACAGAGTAGAACTGGCCCATAGGGTATTCAAGGCTGAAATCCTTATGGAGTAAGACTACTACATCTTTCTCTGATGGAGCATCTGGGACAAAGTCATCTACATTACAGAGCCACATTTGAGCAAGGTAGAATTGTCAAAGGTGTCAGGAGAAAAGGGAAGACTCGGTGACGGAACTCTGGTGGCATAGTGCCTAAGGCACTTGACTGCTAACCAGAAGGCTTGTGGTTCAAACCCACAAGCCACTCCTTGGAAGGAAGGTTGGGCAATCTACTTCTGTAGTGATACTGCCTCGGAAACAGAAAGATGGTTCGCTATAAGTCGGATCTGACTCGACGGCATTGACACCACCACCACCACTGAGAAAGAAGTTTTCACTGGCAAACAGGGAATTGTTTCATATCAATGAACTAAAATCAGAGTTCAGTGATGTGGACTGTATGTGTACATTTTGTTGTTAGCTGCTGTTGAGTAGATTCTGATGGATGGAGGTCCTATACACAGTCAGTGAAATGTTGCCCAGTCTCATGACATCCTCATGATCATTGGCATGCTTGAGTTCAGAGTTGCATCCATAGTGTAGTGCCTTCTAACCTGGGAGACTCATCTTCCAACACTGTATTGGACAATATTCTGTTCTGACCATTGGCTAATTTTTAGAAGGAGATCTCCAGGCTGTTCTTCCCAGGTTGTTTTAGTCTGGCATCTCCACAGAATCCTGTCCACCATGGATGATGTTGCTGGTATTTGAAATACAGGTGGCATATCTTCTAGCATCACTGCAACATGCAAGCCACTACAGTATGACAAACTGACAGACGAGTGGTGGATTGATTGTATAAATATAGTAATTGTTATACTGAGGTAAGATATGATGCTGTCCATGATCTGTTAAGAAAAAAACCATAGCCTTGTACATAAGGAGAGGACTACACCTAAAGATGGGACCTTGTTGTCTTCACTCACCTGTCCAGACACTTCTTTCAGGGAAGGGAAAAACAGAGTTGGCCAGCTGATCGGGACAAATTCTCTCTCTTAGTTTAATATAAAAATGTCAGATTTTATTGAGGGAAACTGGAGGTGGAAAATAGCTATCAAGGTGGTGAAAAGTCAAAAACTACAAAGAAAGAGACCCATGTAGCTTGACAAATGTTTTGTTCAGTTTGTTGTTGTTGTTGTTATGTGCCATTGAGTCAGCCCTGACTCATAGCCACCCCTCCTTGGGTTTCAGAGGCAGTATCAGTACAGAAGTAGGATTGCCCAACCTTACTTCTGAGGAGTGGCTGGTGGGTTTGAACCGCCAGCCTTCTGGTTAGCAGTCAAATGCCTTAGGCACTATGCTACCAGAGCTCCTTGGTTCAGTGTAGTTCCATACAATCTGAGAATCTTAGATGCAAAATTGCTAGAGAAGGAACAGATATAACAGATGAATTCATTCTCAGGATTTTTATTTCCCTGTTTCATTTTGAATCTCCTCCCTATCTCAAGTATGGCAAGGGGAATCAGTGAGTAGGAATGGTTCATGTTTGAATATGTTTGCTAAACTGGAAGAAGTCATCATGGTGGTATACTCATTTAAGAGAGAGAAATCCTCTAGGGAAGGATTAAATAAAGAAGTAAATAGTATAAAGACCACTATGGCCCTCTGTCTTACCCACCTATACAGTCTTCCTAAATAAACTTTAAAGTTCTATGTATTGCTTATTCAGATAAATTGTTACCTACCATAAGATATTGGTAGTACCTGCTCTACCACTCATCTGTCAGTTTGTCGTACTGTGTTTGCTTGGATGTTACTGTGAAGCTGGATGTTATGCCACCAATTTCTCAAATACCAACAGGGTCATGCAAGGTGAATAAGTTTCATTAGAGCTTCCAGACTAAGACAGACTATGAAGAATGAGCCAAAATACAACCTTGATTACATCCCACCTGAAGTTAGAGACCATCTGAAGAATAGATTTGATTACTGGAACACTAATGACTGAAGACCAAACAAGCTGGTATGACACCAAGAACATCATACATGAAGAAAGCAGAATGTCATTAAAAAGACAGGAAAGGAAGAAAAGACCAAAATGGATGTCAGAAGAGACTCTGAAACTTGCTCTTGAGTGGGAAAGCACCTTCAATAGCTAAAGCAAATGGAAAAAAAAATGATGAAATTAAATAGTTGAACAGAAGATTTCAAAGGGCAGCTCAAGAAGACATAGTAAAGTATTATAATGAAATGTGCAAAGACCTGGAGTAGGAAAACCAAAAAGGAAGAACATACATACTTAGCTTTTCTTAAACTGAAAGAATGGAAGAAAAAATTCAAGCCTCAAGTTGAAATATTGAAGGACTCTGTGGACAAAATATTGAACAATGCAGAAAGCATCAAAAGAACATGGAAGAAATACACAGAGTCACTGTGCCAAAGAGAATTGATTAACTTTCAACCATTTCAGGAGGTAGCAGATGATCAGGAACCATTGGTGTTGAAGGAAGAAGTCCAAAGTGCACTGAAGGCACTGGTGAAAGACAAGCCTGCAGTAATTGACAAAACACCCATTTGAGATGTTTCAATAAACAGATGAAGTGCAGAGGTGCTTAGTCATTTATGCCAAGAAATTTGGAAGACAGGTACCTGGCCAAGCAATTGGAAGAGATCAGTATTTGTGCCCATTCCAAAGAAAGGTGATCCAACAGAATATGGAAATTATCAAACAATATCATTAATATTACATATAAGTAAAATTTTGCTGAAGAAAATTTATGAAAAAGTTTGTAGCAGTACATTGACTGGGAACTTCCAGAAATTCAAGCTGGATTCAGAAGAGGATGTGGAATGAGGGATAAATTGCTAATGTGAGGTGGATCTTGGCTGAAAGCAAAGAAAATGAGAGAGATGTTTACCTGTGTTTTGTTGACTATGCAAAGACATTTAGCTGTGTGAATTACAACAAATTATGGATGACATTGGGAAGAATGGGAAACCAAAACACTTAATTTTGCTCATGAGGAACCTGTACATAGACCAAGAGCCAGTCATTCGAATGGAACAAGGGGATACTGCATGGTTTAAAATCAGCAAGGGTGTGCATCAGGGTTGTATCCTTTCACCATAGTTATTCAATCATCATATTGAACAAATATCTGAGATGCTGGAGTATAGGAAGAAGAATGTGGCATCAGTTTTTGAGGAAGATGCATTAACAGCCTGCTATATGCAAATGACACAATCTTGCTTGCTGAAGGTGAAGAGGACTTGAAGTACTTACTGATGAAGATCAAAGACTACAGTCTGTAGTATGGATTACACCTCAGCATAAAGAAAACAAAAATCCTCACAACTGGACCAATAAGCAACACAATAAATGGAGAAAAGGTTGAAGTTGTAAGGGATATGATTTTACTTGGATCCACAATCAACACTCACGGAAGCAGCAATCAAGAAATGAGAAGTATTGCATCAGGTAAATATGCTGCAGAAAAACTTCTTTAAAGTGTTAAGGAGCAATGGTGCCAGTTTGAAGACTAAGGTGTACTTAACCCAAGCTATGGTATTTTCATTAGCCTCATATGCATGTGAAAGTTGGACAATGAATAAGGAAGACCGAAGAAGAGTTGATGCCTTTGAATTGTGGTGTAGGGAAACAATACTGAAAATATCATGGACTGCCAGAAGAATGAACACATCTGTCTTGGAAGAAGTGCAACCAGAATGCTCCTTAGAAGTGAGAATGGTTAGATTTCGTCTCTACTACTTTGGTCACAGAGTCAGAAGAGACCAGTCTCTAGCATAGGATATCATGCTTGGTAGAGTGGAGAGACAGTGAAAAAGGTGAAGATCCTCAATGAGATGGATTGACACAGTGGCTGCAACAATGAGTTCAAGCACAGCAAGGATTGTGAGGATGGTGCAGGACTGAGCAGTGTTTTGTTCTGTTGTACATGAGGTCACTATGAGTTGGAGCCTACTTGATGACACCTAACAACAACCACCACCATATCCTGCTTGTTCTCAGATCCATTTCCTCTACTTCTGCTCTCTCTGGGCTGATTCCTACAAATTACATTTCCTAAGTGCTTTTGCCATCTAACTTTAGTCTGAGATTGGGTAAGGGGAGCCCTGGCCTGTGAGTGGAGGACAGGAGGACAAATGTCCTTCATTTCTCTCTGTTTGGAGCCGCCTCTCCATGATTGAATGCATCTCCTTTGTGAGGCTGCTTCCTGCTGGTGGACCCCATCCAGAGCGCTGGGAGCATCATCCCTCTTTCAGTCTTCCAGACACAGGGATGATAGTGGTTTCCTACTAAAACAAGTCTTTGAATTTCCTCAACACCCTTGGTTTGTCCTTTTGGTTCTTTCTATACTTGTAATTAGTTTCTTCCCAAAATTTACTCTACCATCATGGGTTCTGTTTTCTTGATTGTACCATGACTGAAAAAAATTATCTTCAAAACATAAACTCAAAATTTAGTAAAAGTACTTCCCTGACTGGTTCCCAAGACAGATCTGCCTAACATCCCATTCCATGTTAGAAATAATTATTTGACAACAATGTCTTACATTTATGCAGCGTTCCAGAATTTGTAAACTGCTTTCACACACATAATCTCATTTGATTCCCATAATAACTCCTGTGAGACGGCAGTAGAAGAAACAAAATTGCCTACATTTACATACTTGGTAGTAATAGTAGCAGTAGGAAGATACTTTAACTTAAATCTTCAGGTTCAAAATTCCAAGATTAAAATGGTAAATTTTTTATATGGCCTGATATGTGAAAAATAAACCAACCAACCCATATTTAGTAACAAGAAGAAATGTTCCTGTAGTTTATATTAAGTACCTTCAAGGCATACTTTATCATCGTATTCTTTATTGCATTTCTTTCTTATGTTGACTCTTAAGTTAAGGTCTTGCACATATAAATTTAGACCATTGCATTATTTTAAAAGAAATCAAAATAATAAAAATAGTTCTGGAAAAGGGGCTCTGGGAATAGGAAAACATAAAAAGAGATGGGTAGCTATTAAACAAAAGAACAAAACAGTTTTGGTTACTAGGTATCTTCTTATACCATATATCATATGTCCCCATATTCATTAATATGTGAATTAATAGTCATTGATGGACTGGAAAGTGAAACAAGTATGTTATGCTTATGCTAATAGCTAACAATTATTGAATATTTAAAATGAGCTGGGCACTGTTTTATGACCTTTACACAATTTCAATTATTTGAGCCTCACAACAACCCTGTGAGGTGGGTTATATTATAATTTTGTTTTAAAAATATACTTGATGGTACATATTACTGAATATCTGAGTATCTTAGAGTATCTTAGTGTAGTTCATTATGTATTGCACCTTATAATAAAATCTTTTTAATCTATTGAATATTGCTCAACAGTAATTGAATTGCATGGCTCAGTATTCATCTTTTATTTTCTTCCATTTTAAATTGTTTTAAATTTGGGTTATAACTCAAAAACATATGAAATGACTCATTATTTACTAATTTATGTTACCACAAATCATGATTAAATAAATTTGGTAACTGCTAAAATGGGATGTATGTATTGGAAGAGAAACATCAATTTAACCATTCATACTTCCAAAGTGTGTCTCTGTCTCCTTGCCCAGCCTCTTTCATTTGACATAGACACCTCTCCCTTCTTCTCCCATACCCACTTGGCCATTTTCCCTTTCTTGGCTGTGCTTCTGTAATTGAGATAGCATTGTCTCCTTCTGGGAATGCTGGCACCCTCTTTTGACTGGTGGTCAATGGATCAATGTTGACATAACACATTTACTGGAAAATGGTCAGAGAACACCACTCCAGCTGTTCCTTAGCAGCGTGCTGCTCAAAATAAACGCAGCCTCAGTGATTGGACTTTGCTGAATCAGCCCAACCTCGTTTACCACCATCATGCCTTAGTGGGTTCCTCTACGGCCCTGACTGAGCCGAGCTGTGTGGATCTGCCCTGGCAGATGTGTATTTTAAGCAGTTCAGCCACCACAGGACTGTGAGAGGACGTGAGCTGAGAGAAGACATGCTTCCCCACTTCCGCTGTCCTCATCCTTGTCAGTCTGATTACTCAACTGGTCACCACTCCCTCAGGATCTATATTTAAGTACTTCTGACAATGGAATGACACATTGTTTCCAGGATTCGTTGACTGAATTAGCTCTCTGTCTGCATTGCAGAAAATGTCTATAGCACTCAGCATTTTCACAAGATAACCTGGTCACTTCCTGAGTACTCATCTGAGTGAATCAGAGAGAAAAGATACAAAAGGAAATAAAAGTTTCATTGGGTTAAATTTAGGAATAATTCCTCTCATCTTTAGCCTTACTGTTGATGGAAAAATCATTAACAGCAGCCTGCAGTGTTGGAATGTTGCAAGAAATTCAGAAAAGATCTCTTCTTTTTGTCTTCCCATGCAGTTACAAAATCTAGTTGGTTAGCCTTCAAACATTCAAGCCAAATTCTTTGTTTTTAGTGAAATATTGAAAGTTCTCTTGACACGCTATATGAGTCTCTGCATATTTGTCATTGTTGTTGTTGTGTTGTTATGTGCCGTCATTAGGTTGCTTGAAATCCTGTGCTCCACTTTTGGTTTTCTCAAACATACTGTCTTTGGAGTTACTTAAAAGGCATTGTGGTGACAGTTTGTAATTCAGCGCATGTTAATTGAGAGCTTCCTTTGTGACGGGCATTTGTATTAAGTATTGGATGTTTTCTATTGGTACTTTATTGTAACTGAATTATGTAAAACGCTTCTAAGTTAAATAAGCATTACTTAAAAAGAAAAATAGAAAAAGATGGCAAAAGATTAGATGACACATAATTGAATTTGTAAATGCTTACTGGTGCTGCCCAGGTCAGACTGAAAATGAGCAGTCCCAAACAGATAACTTGCATCTTTGCGTATCTCTGAAAAAAGACAGTAATATTTTACTTCGAAACAATATCAATTATAAACTGCAGCAATAGGAATGAATAAAACACAAAGGTATATAAAAACAGCCTTCCTACTAGCAGTTCATTTCCTTTTGTAAGAAAAATCTGTATAATTTTTTTATGTCCAACTGTGGCTATTTTAATTTAAGAGCTTTCATAGGTCTAATTATTTCAGTGTGAAAATAAAAATTGTTCAATGTCATTAAAACAATGAAGTCAATTGATAGAAATGAATTTTATAGGCACATTTATTTGATCACCTGCCATTTCTAACTTTTCCTCATCTTCAGAAAGTGATTGTTTAATTATTTGTACAATTCATGATGACGTTAAATTAATGTAGTAACTTCTAATAGACTCTTGAAATGAATTTGTCTGGGTAGCAGGCCACACTATGAGAAAGGAAATCTTGTCAGCTAACAGGCTGGTACACCAGCATATGTCCTCATATTCATTAATATGTGAATCAATAGTCATTGATGGACTGGAAAGTGAAACAATTATGTTATACTAATAGCTAACCATTACTGAATATCTAAAATGAGTTGGGCACTGTTTTATGACTTTTACACGTTTTCAATTATTTGAACCTCACAACAACCCTATGAGTTGGATGATATTACAAATTTTGTTTTATCAATTAGGAAATAGGCACAGAAAGGCCAAGTAACTTTCCCTTGATTTCAAAGGGATTAAAGGGCAGAAGCTGGATCAGCACCTAGGCAATATAGCTGTAGAATGAGCCAATGTTATTAATCAAGACCTTATACTACCATTAATAAATTTCTATTATTTTATCATATTACAGAAAAATCCACAGGTAGTTGAATTAAAGGTAAATCATATTTTATAATGGACTCAACAAAATGATGTTTAAAATACTAACATTTAGTTTTGCATAAAGGTATATGTCTGTAGTTTGTTGAATGTATTAACAGGATATAGGACTCATTTAAGTCAAGAAACCATTATATTGGGGAAAAAAAAAGGTCAATATATTCTTGGATGACTAATCTGTTGGTTTTGGGACAAATAAGCATTTCACTAACTCCCAAACAAATAAATAACAAAGAATAAGAGAATATAAAATGTATACCTTTTTTTGAGATTACTTGTGGGAAAAAAGTTTTCACAGAAAAATACCCTAAATATTCTTATAATCTTTAAATATTACAAGATAAAAACATTTCCTTGGAATAATAAATATAACTTTTAAATATATTCTAAAGTCCTAAATTGTCTTGTAAATTAAAACAATTTTAAGGATCTATTTAATAGTTCTAGCTATAATTCAGCCTTCCAAGAGTTTCATAGATCAAGAAAGATGAAGTTTCACAGTATGAATACCATCAAACTCTCTATATTCTGGTTTGTAAGTATAGGAGTAAAGTAAAAATAGAGTATTTGAGTTATTTTGGATTTTTAGAATGCTGATGTCAAATCAAAGCGAAAGTTGCTACCAAATGATCAATTTCAGATTATGATTTCTACAGCTTAGTAACACACTTTCTAGCTTTATAAGAAAAAGTATTAAAAGTGTGCTCGGTATAGAATAATTTTAATTAGGAGGTTGCAAATATCTTGAAAGTGTAAAAATCACATTGTAAAGCTATCTGCTATCAAGAATATCAAAGGAACCAAATTACCTGGTATCTTTTACCTTCAGAAAACCTGGATCCTTCTGCAGAATTAGCAATCTCCGGGCATTTTGCTGAAATTTAAAGTTTGTTAGAGTTCCCAATGGCCAATCAGCATCAGCTTACTGAGCATCAGCAAACAATTTGTTACCAGTGCCGACAGATAACCATAGGGGGTAAAGTAATTTCAATCTAAAAATGTTTTGTGGTGGAAAGGTGCTATCAAATGTTCCAGCAACTGGTATAAACAGAAAATATAAATATTTCACTTTGGATGTCATGTTGTCAGATAATTAGAATTGATTTCAGCAGTATTAATTAGGTCTGACTGAATAACAAGTATAAAAATAGAAAACTTTCACAATCTTCTTATGTAGAAAGTTTATAAGTTTAGTTGTGTGACAAAGACTAACTTATATTTCAACAGATTCACTCTGAATGCTGTGTTGAGAATGCACAGAAGGAGGAAAAGGGCAGAGATACCAGTCAGGAAACTCATGCATCAATCAGACAGAAAGATGAACCTGAGTGGTGGCAGAAGAGATGGTGACAATTGGTCCTATTCTGAATATATTTTGAAAGTAAAATTCATAAGATTTGCTGGTGAACCAGAGAAAGTGTGAGCAGAAATCAAAAATGATGATACCTACATTGTTGTTGTTATGTGCCGTCGAGTCCGACATGACTCATAGTGACCCCTCCTTGGGTTTCCGAGGCAGTTATCACTATAGAAGTAGATTGCCCCATCTTCCTTTTGAGGAGTGGCTGGTGGGTTTGAATCGCCAACCTTCTGGTTAGCAGTTAAATGCCTTAGGCACTATGCTACCAGAGCTCCTGATACCCAGCTTAGACCTGAGCAACTACAAGAATGAAATTGTCTTTTTCTGGCATAGGGGAAATTGCTACTTCAGAAGGTTGTTTTGAGGAGAAATAACATGAGCTTGAGTTTGAACATAAATTTTATAAAGTGGTCAATTTAGTACATTACTTTTTTTTTTTTTTTAATAGTGATTTGGGTGAAGAGCTTCAGAGCAAAAATCACTTTCCATACAGCAGTTCACGTACACTTTGTCTCATGAAATTGACCACAGTTTACCACAATGCAATAGCTCCCCTCCCATTTCCTCCCCATAGTTACCTCTTCCCAGTGTCCATCCCTCCATGCACTCCTGCCCCCTGAACTGTCTCCCTGTGCATAAGAAGCCCTTCTTTCTCCCATGATTGTTTTCTCCAAGGAGTGTATCTACCTCAGGTAAATGTTCAACTCATATGCCTGTCTTTTGTTTGGCTGGAAGCCACAGGTGTGGGTTCAATTCCAGACCT